ATCCCGGGGCCATCTTAGCCGTCTTGGAGGCCATCTTGGGCGTCTCGGAGGCCTCTTGGGCCTCGTGGGCGATCTTGGGGCGATCGTGGGGGCCTCTTGGGCCGTCTTGAGCCGTCGGAATGCCGAAAAGAAGCAAATGTCCAAATCCTTCAAACACCTGAGGAAAATCAATGATTTTGGTCTCTTCGGCCCCTTTGGAGGACCTCTTGGAGCCCTCTCGGGCTGTCTTGGAGGCCTCTTGGGGGCCTCTGGGGCCGTCTTGGGCCATCTTGAGGCCATCTGAGGCCGTCTTGGGTGCATCTTGGGCCGTCTTGGAGGTATATTGGGGCCATCTTCGCCATTTTGGGAGGCCATCTTGGGCCGTCTTGGAGCCGTCTGGAGCAGGAAAAGACCTTGGCAACCACCTCTGGGCAATCTTTCCGGGTGGCCGGCGGGACGGGCCGAAGACCCAGAGGGAGTTCTTGTGGGAGAAGAACCAAAACCCAAACCGAAAGGATCTAGAACGCCAGGCACCCCTGCGATGAATCGACAGGGGGTGGCCGATCTAATGGCTTTTGGCCCATCCCGCCACCGTGCCTGGGTGGTTGGCAAGAGGCCAGTAACAGGTCTGTCGGCGGCTCTGGGGGCTTTGGGGCTCCTCGTGGGGACCTGCTAGCGGTCTCGGGGGTAATTTGGGATGGAAGGCTCCAAATGCCAGTTCGGGTTCCGCGCTCTTCTTGGAGCATTCTTTGTTATCTCTTGGGTCTCTCCTGGAGGCTCGGGGGCTGTGTTTGAGCGATCTTGGGGGGCTCTTGGGCCGTCGCATGCGCTCTGAATGCCGACATACAGAGAATGTGAAAGCCTACATATAAGCCGGGGGAGCTGGAGGAGTTTCACTCTTTTAATTTAATCGCTTCGCTCATTCCGCCGGCCCATACGGTCTCATGTCTGCCGTTTGCCCGAGGGCCTGGTGTCAATGCGGCGCTTTGGGGGTTCCTGGGGCCGCTTGGGGGACTCCTGGGGCGCTCGGGGGGGCATTTGGGGGGCCTCCTGGGGCCGCTTGGGGGACTCTTGGGGGCCTCCTGAGGGCCTCGTGGGGGCCTTTTGGGGCCTCTTAGGGGCCTCTTGGGGCCTCGTAGGGGCTTCTTAGGGCCGAGGGCTCGAAATTTTGTTTCGTGTTCCCTCTCTGGGGCCCCTTTGGGGGTGTTCTTGGGGCCCTCTTGGACCGTCTTGGAGGCTTCTTGGGCCGTCTTCGAGCCCTCTTGGGCCATCTTGGGGCCCTCTTGGGGGCCTCTTGGGCCCTCTTGGGGCGATCTTGGGGGCCTCTGGGGCCGTCTTGGGGCGTCGGGAACCGAAAAGGTGGAAGCTCCAAAATCTTCAAAAACCTAAGGAAAAACAATGAATTTTGCCTCCGGGGGCCCTCTTGGGAGTGCTCTTGGAGGCCTCTTGGGGCGTCTGGGGGCTATCTTGGGCGTCTTGGAGCGATCTTGTGGCATGTCGGACCCCTCGTGTACCATCTTGGGGGCCTCTTGGGGGCCTCTTGGCCTTTCTTGGGGCTCTCGGGGACGTCTCGGAGCCCTGTTGGTGCGCTCATGGAGCGCTCCTGGAGCGCTCTGGGGGACTCCTCCCGGGACTCTCTCAGGACCTTGCCGGGGTACTTTTCGTCCGTGGACCCCCAGGGGCCGCCCCGCGCGCGCGAACTAGAGAATTGTTAACCAGTTACCGGAGATCTTAGCACGCCTCTGGCCCGTTGGGCCGGCGAATTCAGCCCCCAGGCTTCCCAGACCGCCGCGGATCTGTTCCGGGGGGCTATCTTTGGGCATGTTGGAAGTGTGGGTTCCGAGCCACGGTCCCGAGGGCTCCAGCAAAGTCGCGCGGCGATTCCCGAGAGCGCCTGGTAGCGCTTGGGGTTCGGGGGTTTGCGGCCTTCACAGGAGATTGACAGCACTCAGCGCAGAGAGTTCGAAGGGACTTGGGGACACTCCACCCAGTACCTAGCGGTACGGCAGTGGATCTTCGTAACCTGCCCGTTCAGTGCAGTACTATTTTAATGAAGTTGGGGAGGACACAGGAAATAATCAGGCGAGGAGGTCGCGGATAAAATCGTGGGGAACTGAAAGTTGTCGCAACAGCAAGGGTTCGCGTTAGCGTTGCAGAGTTTCGGGTGGCCGATTCGTGTCCTCGTCACTCTAAGCCACCCTCAAGCCGCCTGAGAGTTTGTATGGGGGAAACCGTAGGCCTTGGAACCATCATCTCACGAGACGTTCGGCATCATCATCTTGGCATTTGTGCGAATAGCGTGCCTTGGGATATCGCCTATCCTTACCAAACTGGATGCGCGCGCAGACAGGTGTGGTGCGTTCGGACAGATGCGTTCAGTTTGACACGTCCTCCGCAATCCATCGCCGAGCAAACGCGATACGAGCTCATGTATAATCGTATGCCGAATCCAGTTGCGGATGGGGCGCACGGTGTGGTCAGGTAATTGATGTACGGTGTCGTTCGGGTTGGCATCGACTCCTGCTTCCAATGCCATGCCTGCGGCAAACAAACAGTAACATAAACATAATAATTCGGAGGTCCGCGCGGATTTCTTGGATCGGCGCTGGACCCCCCTCCCCTGGCGCGCGGACCGCGCCCGGGGCGGCGCTGAAAGCGCCGTCAGGTGCCCCCCGCGCCGATCCGCGGATTTCGCGTGGAGGTCGCAGCTTTAATGTTTATGCCGTTGTTTGTTGCTCTATGAGAGAAAAGCCCTCCCTCTGCTGCCCCGCGCCCGCCCCGCGCCCCGCGCGCTCCCCTCCCTCTGCTGCCCGCCGTGCCCGTTTTCGGCCACGTGCACCCCACGTCTGCCCCAGGACGCGCCCTGGATTCTCTTCTCGGCGACGAACAAGCTTTAAGGAAACCAGGTTCAGGCAGTACATCTGTATCCAGTGACCTTCCGCCCATGCGGCCACCGCGCCCTGGTCGTGGATCAGGGGCTTCTTGGAGGACGCTCGGGGTATCTTCGGGGGGCTGTCGTGGGCCTCTTAGGGGGCGTTTCGGGGGATCCTGGGAGTCTCTTGGGAACCTCTGGCTTCTTGGGGGACGCTCGGGGTATCTTCTTGGGAGTCTCTTTGGAGCCTCTGGCTTCTTGGGAGTCTCTTGGGGGCGTCTTGGGGGCTTCTCGGAGGCCGCTCGAGGTATCTTCGGGGGGCTGTCGTGGGCCTCTTGAGGGCGTCTTGGGGGATCTGTTGGGGGCCTGTTGAAGCATCCCGTGGGTCTCTTGGGGGCCTGTGGCGGCCTCTGGGGGGGTCTATTTTGGGAGTCTGGGGGTTCTTCGAGTTTCCTGTTTTGGGCTTCTCTTGAGGCTCTCTTAGGCCGACCTTTGAGATTTTTGTTTGTTTGTTTGAAATTTCGGGAGACTCTTGGGCCGTCTTGGGCGCTGGCAAGACCGAACACACCAGAGGGCAATCTATTATGTTTCAACCGATCTTTTGGCTTTGTCTTCAGGGGAGGAGCTTCGCAGAGTATTTACATTGCTCTGTGCCGTGGGCCTGTGGGGATCTGATGATTTTCGATTCAGTGACTGCGGCACTCTGGTGGGTTACGGATCCGTTGAGATCGCCCCACACGACGGCAACATCAGTACTTCGGGTAATCGATGTGGTGGACAAGCTTGACACATACGTTTCCCAAACAAAGCTTGCACTAGGGGTGTTGGTTAGGGTTTACAGGAACTGTTTGTGTGTATGCGTGTATGTGTGGGTCTAACGTAACAGCTGATTCGTTGATTCTTGATGGATCGCTTGCCCGCAGCTTGCGGGCGGGATACGTGCGCTCTCGTTGCACATGGAATTAGGGACTTTACCCAGGGTTTTAGGCTCGTGGGCCCCCGTGGGCGCCTTCGGGGCCCTATGGCGACCTTTGGGATTGTGTTTGTCTGGTGTCCAATTCTCAAGAGTTCGACCTGCTGCTCCGCCCTTGCGCCCAGCATGCGCCTTCGTCTCCATCGCTGCCCTCGCATCGGCTACGCCTCCTCGCGGCTTTGTCCTCTGACGCTTGGCCGCTCCGCTGCCGCTGCCCTCTTCCCGCTTCGGTGGGTGCCTTCGCCACGAGTCCTCGTCGTATTAGCACTCGCATCTCCATGGCCCATTTTGGATGTGTGCGTGCGTGCGTGCGTGCGTGCGTGCGTGTGTGTGTGTGTGTGTGTGTGTGTGTGTGTGTGTGTGTGTGTGTGGGTGTGTGTGTGTGTGTGTCTGGCGGGTCAGATCGGCTTCCGCTCACAGCGTTGAGTGCAATCCACACTATCGTGGTCCGCTACTACTCATCGCAACTATGGTGTCACATCGGTTGCGGAGGAGAAGTGTGTGGGTGTGGGGTGGACACGGTGATCCAGTGCTGTGGATGTCGCCTCATTTCTCGGATGCTCGTAGACTTCAAGGATGTGTACTTAGGCCGGCTGGTTGAGCGGTGCAGCGGCCCGCTGTCGCTAGAAAAGTGTGTGTCGGGTTTTCTGTTCATTGGCACCCGTGGCCACCTTTGGTTGCCTATGGTGCTCTATGGTGGGCGCCCTGGTGCCCTGAGGTGACATATGATGCACCGCGTAGAGTGCACCCTGCAGATTGCACCACATAGCTCGTGCCGCGCAAGTTGCAACACATTGCGCTTCACAGGTTGCCCCCGCATAGCGTGCACCACAGAGGTGGCACGTGGTCTGCTATACGATGCGCCACACCTATTGCACAACACATGCTGTATCTCGTGGTCTGTGACTATTTTGTTGATCATTCACAGGATGCACCGCGTGTATTGCGTATCGGAAATGCAAGAAGCTACTGTTTGTGACCATGCTGGTTGACATGTCTAGTTGTGGATCCAAAGCTTGATCGATCCACCAAGGACTGGCCCCTTGAATTTCCCAAGACAGAAACAACATGATCAAGTGTATATTCATTTGCATCAGCGCATGGTGCATTCGATGCGGCACAGTATATTCGTGAACGAGCGAGAGAAAAGAGAGAGAGACACACAGATAGCGAAAGGATGCCGAGTTGAACATGCGGCAGCGATTCGCCGCAGGCATGTTTGCAGGAATCGCTGGTGCTTTCGTGGAAGGGTGGGTAGTGTAGTTGCAGCGCAATGTTAACCTTTACTCACGTGCGCATTCGTTTTCAGAGAACATCCGTGTGACCCACAACGTTTAGCGTACACGCATCCCAATGTTGGCCCCTTGAAAAGTATGTCAGCTTCGATGGACGTCACGGCACCACCCGTGAACTTTCAACTTGGTCTGATAGGCTGTACAAGGGGTCTCATAGGCTTCGATGCTGTCTGTCGATGTCGATGATGAATCGGGGCGCCGTGAGTGTGATCGGCGGGCGTGGTGGGTGCCATGTGGGGGTCAGCCTTGGACGATGTGAACACGCACGACATTGTGAACTTTGTAGTGTGTGAGCGTTGGGGCAATTGCTCGGGGAGTCTGGCGTCTCAGGAGGTGGGGAAGCTACGAACGCCAGGGGCCAGGGAGGTGTTGGGAGGGCCAGATAGTTGTCCAGCCAGTTCCAGGGTGTGGCGAAGTAAAAACGCGCTCTCGGGTTTGGGTCCGGGTGTCGGCGCTGGCAGGCAGTTGACCGTGAATTTGGTTTCCGCGAGAGTCTATGTAAACATTGCCGAGTCATTCTGCCAAATTGCGGACAGGTCGAACGTCGCTGACAGAAACAAAGAGTCTATTATCCAAGATGATGATTAGGGTTCCATGGAGAGTCAGCTGTTCTGCGCTTGGACGTACATTTCGTTTAGACCAATGCGTTGCGAATGAAAGCAGCATCAACGAGGAAAGGATGAAAAATACCACACCTCGTTCACACCTTGTGCCAAAGACGCCGTTGAATTCCCTGTGGCCAAGCCCACTCTAGCCCAACGTTATCCGCTATAGAGTTTTCGCCGGCAGGGTCATGTAGCCCGATCTTTTCGTAAAGCAAGCAATCTTGAGCAATGCCTACTCAGTAGTCACAAGTTCTTCTCCTTCAGAGACCTCCGCAAGTTGCGTTGCTAGGATTCACGCTTGATCGCTACCTCTGACGTAAAGAGTATCAGGGTGCTCCTCCCGCGGTGTTAGCTCCTACTCATGCAATTGTTAGAAAGCCACTTTTTGGTAAAGCCTTTGCGTTTACTAAACCAACCGTTCGTTTCCGATGCTCATGTGATCCGTGCGCAGAAGAGACCGAGGGGTAAACTTAAGGGAATGTTGGGTATGTCTCTCTTGTTCCCACGCCCTGGCCCAATCCTGCCGATTGACGCGGAGAAGACGACCCAGCCGGCTTTCTTCATAATGGTTTTCGACCAGATCCTCGAGTCAGTTTATGCAATCGGTTCGCTCATTCCAGTGGTCCATACTGTATCATCGCTGACACTTGCATGCGTGCTCGCGAAGGCTCATAATGTTGTGAGTGGCGGTCATTTCCCCGAGCTGTCTAGCTTGGGGGAGAAATAGTGGCAGGGTAGAGGCCAGGCAACGCTCAACGGAGCACGCCCCCACCGGAGTTCCGTCAGTGCAGCCTGCCACCGTGCCTGGGTCGTGGGTCAGAGGCGTGTTGGATGCCTCGCGGGTTCTCCTCGGATGCCTTTCGGGGGCCTCTTGGAGGCTCATTGAGGTCTGCCTGGAGGCTTGCTGAGGCCTCCTGGGGGTCTATTGGGATCTCTTCGGACCTCTTGAGGGCTTTCGGGGGCGTTTGGGGGCCTGCTGGCGGTCTCAGAGGCCCTCTTGGGGATCTCTTGGGCCGTCTTGGGAGGTCCTTGGGCCGTCTTGGGGTCCTCTTGAGCCGATGTGTCGCCTCTTGGGGGCTTTTTTGGGGCTTCTTGAGGCCCTCTTGGGGGTATGGGGGTCTTTTGAGCCATCTTGGAGGAAGAGGAGCGAAGATGCGCCGAACGCTTTTGTGTGGGGCTGTCCGATCTTCTTGGGGCCCTCTTGGGTCGTCTTCGGGCTCTCGGGCCGTCTCCAGCTATTTTGCGCCTTCCAGGAGCGCTCCTGGGACATTATGGCGGTTCCCGAGAGCCGTGCCCAGAAGGAAGCCATCTTCGACCCGCCAGGATCAACCAGCGTATTTTTTGTTTGGGGGCCCCGCGCGCGCGAATTGGTAAAGCCCACGACGGCTCTTGATCTCTTATCGGGGATTCTGGCACGCCTTCGGCCAGTTGGGTCCGCAGATGTCTCTAGAGTCGTATTTGCTGTTCGGCTCTCGGCTCCGCGATCTATTCTTGGATACGCTCTCATCTCTGCGGTTGGTCCGAATGTCGACGGGCCCAGTGCAGTGGCAGAGAGGGAGGAGTCGCCCGTCGAGCTGTTCAAGTCGCAGGCGCGCTTTGCATAGTTTGAAGGCATTTGAAGGCAGTGGTGAGCCATATTGGTGGTCACGCGTGCATCCCTGACACTCGCAGATATTTCGGTGTTCGTGCGAGTCTAATGGCAGTGTTTTTTCCATGTTGCCCGTATTGTTTGTGCTCTTCTCTTTGTTTGAGGGTTCTTGTGCAAGGTGCAGATTGAAGTGACGAGAAGCTTACAGAGTCGTGGCAGGTATACGCCAAGGTGTGACCCGTGTTTTCTTTTTGTCTGCTCGGCGTAGCTGTATTTTCCAACAATTGTGTATCTTAGAACCACCGGGGTGTTTTCCCACTCCAGTGAGTGACTGTGATCATTTTCGTAATATCCATTGCTTGCTCCCACTGGGTTGCTGCAGTAAGCCTGTCAATCTATTCTTTTGGCGCGTGATGGTTTGTTCATCGAAGTGTGTATTGCGACGTTGTTAGGAGGAAATGGAGAAACGTGGTGCGGAGCACATCGTCAGACACAGTGAAGCATGCAAGCCTGCTTTCAGCATGTGCACAGTTCGTGTCCAGGTATCAGAACGTCTTCCATTGTGCTTGGGATATATTCCGGACGCACGGGCCGCTGGGATTCTTCCAGGTGTGTATTTGGTTTCGTTGTATTGCTTCTTAGCTTTCATCTTGCTCTTACTCGCACTCAGCGATCTTATAGTTTGCAGTCATTTTCGCTGGCCGTTCACGTCGCCCTGCTGCCCTAAGACTCGCGCGCTTTACAATGAGCGATACTTAGTTGCTTGTTTGTTTGGCCCAGTCGTTTCGTGGGGTAGGGATGTCAAGTTGGGCTAGCGTTGATTCCGTCACAGTTACATTCGGACAGAAGCAGTTCTGTTAATCTCATTTTTACGATTGCCTTTGAAACTCAATCTAGCAATTTGTCCATTCCGGTTTCACACGGCCGCCGATCTCAAGCTTTACCTAGCTTCTAGCTTGCCGTTGCACCTTCACCAATTGAAGAGCCATGCCAGGGTGAGTTAGACGAATTATTGACGCTTCGCGTATCCTCACGAGTTTTGTCCTGCCTTCTTCGCTCGTCCTACCGGGACCATCCCGTGGACGGTCGTTCGCAGGATCAGTATTCCCTTCAGGAGTCTTGGTGTGCGGCTTTGGTGGCGCCACCCTATGCACCAGTTTTGGGCCAGTATGAGCACTCATGGCAGTCGATACAGTGTACTGGCTGATTGCCTCCCTGGTCACATCCTGGTACGACCCTCGCGCCATTTTGGCTGCGCCCCAACCCTGGTTGGTTAATCTTGCATGTGCGTGCTCCTGGACCTGGTCCCTGGCAGCTGCAGCTTGCACCTCCCCCTCACGCCGGCCCGCCCGCCGAGGCGCTGCTGAGGTCGCCGGCCCGTCGGCGTTAGGCAATTCGGCTTTTTGCGCGGCCCGCTCGGACCTCATTTGCCGCTGGCGCCCTCTCCTGCGGTTGCGACAAAAAAGTATCCTCACGAGTGGTTCAGCTTTCTTGAACGGCCAGGCGTGTCACCTGTCGGTACGCTGCCTTGACCTCTGGCGCCCTGTGACGACAAGGTCCAACTCATGTACCTGGTGATTCAGGTCCCATGGTACCCGCATGTTTGCAGCTTGCAGTCCCCGCCCTCGGCGCTGCAGCTCAGCCCCAGCGCAGCTGCCTCCCCCGGCGGTAGATCCTGCCTAGCTCGGCGCGCGCCTGTGCAATCAGTTTCGCTCGTACCCCGAACCAGCTCTGCTTCTGCTGCTGGCGCCTTCGCCTGTGGCCGCGACGTAAAAAAATCCTCACCAGCCCATCCAGAAACAATTCCCAGGTGAGTTGACTTGAGGAGGCAAGCGGATGAGCGGATGAGCACTAGTGGGCCAAGCAAAGAAGCACGGGACCTATCCAACGGAACTGAAGCTGGCCAACTTGGGGTCCTCTGTGGACCTCCTTGGGGCCTGTTGGAGGCATCTTGAGGCTCTCTTGCGGCCCTTGGGGGACTTTGCCTTGGGAACTTTCGGAGGCCCCTTGGGGGCCATCGTGGAGGCCGTCGATGCAATAAGGGGATCTGATTTTGCGCTGCCCTTCGCAGTCGAACACATCTGATCTCAGGGCGCTAGCGGTGCCCTCTTGAGGGCCTTCTTCAGATGCGCGTCGGAAGTTAGGCCCACCAAACGCTAGAAGGCGTGTAGGCAACGCACACAGGAACGCCAGAGGTTTTCGACGATTTGTGCCTCTCGGCGGTATCCTTGGGAGGCTCTGTGACCACCTCGAGCAACCTTGGGACTACCTTGACAGCTTTTGAAATCATGCCTGACGACTTCCTGGACCCATATTGGCACACCCTCGCCCCTCGCGAATCATAGCTCTTTGGTGAGGATCTTCAGCGAATGTCCCAATGCCGCTCCCCTGCATGGTGCGCGTGTGCCCGGAGCGCCCTCCCCCCTCGCAGTCCGCCTCCCCCCCGTACCGAGCTTCAGGAATCATCGCGGAGAGCGTCCGCGTACCGCGTCTCAGCGCAGGAGGGCACACCCCTCATGCCTGTCGCGCCCCTCCGGCCCAAGTCGCGCGGATAGGCGCCCGCACGTTACGAATGAGCTCAGAACATGCCATGGTCGAGCATCTCTCCCATAGCTTTTCGGGAGGGGCCAGATGGTAAGTTGGACGCATGCAGCACGTTTCGTTCTCCACCAGTGTAGCTTTTGCCTTCTCGCTTGGCTGACCAAATCACCCTTGTGCTGCTGATGCTGGCTCGCCTGTCAGGGCCTTGGTGCTACACTCGCACGGGGAGTGCCAGGCCTGTGGGGTGTGGGCAGAATTGTGCGTGACTGGCAGCTCCTCGGAACATTGCAATGCACGGGGCACGCTTCCTCAAACCTTGCAATTTAGCATAATATCGAGCTTGCAAGTAGCGGCACACATTGGAGATGCGTGCGCTCTTGTTCTGAAATCCTTGGCCTACGTTTTTCATGTCCAGGGTCTCCAAGCAAATTTCAGCATTGCGTGCTGCTCGTTGAAGGTGCGCGCTTAGGAGTATGTTTCTACCTCTTACCAGACTCAACTTGTACTGTGTAGATTCGCTTCTCTTGAAGACGCAAGGTGGACCTGAACCAATTATCGGGATGGGGGGACTTCGCTAGCTTTCCCGTCCCTCTTTCTTAGCCCTGGCTCCCTACCCTAATCCTCCTCTTGGACCCGCCTCTTTGAAGGCAGGCCAATCCATGCTCTATCCTCCTCTAATGATCCCCCTGCCCTTCCTTTCCTTTCCAACTGTCTCCCCTACATCCTGCTGGACCTGAGCCTATCCTTCATTTTCCTCCCCTGATCCGAATCCTACTGCTCCACCGCTCTGTCTTCCTCCCCTAGTCCTTTGCTTGCCCTTCCTCTCCTCCCTGGCCTTGTCCTCCTCGATATGCAGCTGAACCTGGGCCGATTGTTCATCCTTCCCTGATCCTCCCCTGCTTCGTAACCCTCATCGGAAACTGGAGCATATACATCACCAGTGGCGGGCTGGTTTTCAATCGCAGGACTTTTGAGGGTCGGGGACGACGTCGGGGCGGTGTGGAGTATACTTTTTTCCCGTTTTCCCAGGGAAACAACGGAGCAGGTATACACCAGGGTCCCGTATACACCAGGATCCGCTCTCCTGTGCAGGTGTCAGTGCGGGGCCAGAAAAGCGTCGGTGTATAGAGTTCGGCTTCTTGCCTCATCCCCCCTCAATCTGTCTTTCTCTCCTGGTCCCCTGCCTGCCCTTCTCCCCCTCCCCGGCCTCCTCGACATCCTGAACACCCTGCTGGACCGGGGCCGGTCCTTCCTCTCCCTCCCCCGACCCTCCCCCGATCTTCCATCCTGGCTACCCCTCCCCCCACCTGTCTTCGTGCCCTGGTCCTCTGCCTACCTCGGGCCAGACGGAAGGGGGGGATTGGGAAAGGGGGGGTTACGAAATTTGCTGCATGCAGCTGGTTTCGGCCCCACCGAGGGGCCCATTCCTCGATACATAGCCGCCTCCGGCGCTGGGAGGCGCCGGGAAAATCAGCTATGTGAGCTGATTCTCAACCCCCCCCTTTGCTATCCCCCCCTTTCGCCCGACCCGACTACCCCTCCTCTCTGCCCCGGCCTTCTCCTCCTCGGCCCCCTGCTCCTCGATCCGGCGAGGGCGTGCGAGTGCTTCCGGCCCCTTCGGGAGGGGGCGCCGGCTGCGGCGCGCCCCTGCCGCGAGCGGGGAGCGGGCAACGGCGGATTGAGGACAAGAGCAGCGAAAACGAAAACAAAACGAAGACAAGCAGCACTGTTTTGGTCGAGCCCTGGAGCATACAACCCATGAGGAAAGGAGGGGAGGCGGCGCCATCTACTTCGGCACGTACGAGACGGTGAAGGAGCGGCGCGGCCGGGGGGCAGGGGAGGCCAACCGGCAGAGGAGCCGGTGGTTCCGATGCCGCTGCTCGTCCTGGAGGGCCCCCGTCGCCACGGCCGGACTTTGGCCTGGGCTTCTGGTCAGAGTGCGCCGCAGGAGGGGCCCCGGGCGCAGCAGTGTCGGCGTCTCTCTGCCCCCCCGAGGGGGCAGGAGCGCAGGGGCAGACGAGGGGGAAGGCGCGAGGGAGGGAGGCGGACACCCGCGCGAGCGGAACACCGACTCGGGGTGGGCGGGTCCGAGGACGTGTCGCAGTGCATCGCAGCTGCAGCCGAAGCCAAGGCTGGAGTGTACAGGGGAGGAGAGGGCCCACCCTGCAGGCTCGGCTCGTGCAGGGACATGCAGAGAGGAAAAGAAACACACAGACACAATGATTCCTCGATTCCCCAGAAAATAAGGGAAAATATGGGAAGTGGGGGGGGAGACAGAAACCCAGAAAATATGCGAAACTGTGGGGAATCTTTTTATTTGTGTGTATTTATTTGTGTGTCCTGGGGCCCCTTCAAACATGCAGAGAGGGCGGGATGAAGTGTCCGAGAGGGAGGGGACGATTGGACGGCGGTTCTGCACGGAGGGGCGGGAGCACCGAGGGGGGGGGGGGCTGCCCACAGTCGGTCGTGCTGCTGGGCGTTCGGTCCCCGAGGAGGCGTGTTGCAGTTGCTACTTAGTCATCGGCAGGCGGAGGTGGGCCGAGCTCGTGCAGCTCCCACAGCAACGTCTCTTCTCGGGCAGCGCGACAGGAATCGCGTCAAGCGTGGACTGTTCGACTTCAATGGCGCACGCCTCTTCCAGGAGCTTTCTCAAGTGATGAGCTGGTTTCGAAGCTGGCGAGCCGCCATCGTATCGCGTGAAATCGTAGTAGTGTCTTTTTGCTCCTGAGGTGATTCAGGCCTGCCACCCTGCCTTGTCATGGAAGGCACACACCCGAGCAGCACGCCTCGTTAAACTCCGCATCTCAGGGGGTGCTCAGGAGTCGCCAGTGCTTGCAGACTCTTGCCAGGAGAGTCGTGGCAGGCATGTGGGATTCCACAGGTTTGCCGCCGACTGAGGCAGGGGAGGTTGCAGGGTCTTTTTCTGTATCCCACCCCCTCGTTCCCTCCTCGAATATTTGGGTCTCTTTCTCCTCGAGTTTCCTCTTTGACAAGCGGTGGCGTGGGCCGTGCCTTGCCAGGGCTCTTCCAGTGTCGTGGTACCTCGCACCTGCCAGTCAGTTGGCTCGCGTGAGCGCGTGCGGCAACGCGCGACGTGGAAGCACCTGGCTGAAACTGCAAAGCGTGAGTCCTGCACCCCCACCATCAGCAGCCCGCGTGGCGCGTGACAGCCTCGTGGCGGGGAGGGCGGGGACGGCGTGGGCGCTGGCCTCTTTTCTGGCCGAGGTCCACCAGTGCGACCTCGGTGCGGGCCCACTGGGGCCCCCTGATCGCAGAGCGCGAGGCGGCAGTGGCGTCTTGCGCGCCTGTGTTTGGCCCCCCCGCGGGCCCCCCATCAGCCGCGCACCGAGGGTCCCTCTTACCCAGGGTCACCTCTTGCGTGTGGCCGGATTTTTTGGCCGAAGGAGGAGGAGGAGGAGGAGGAGGAGGAGGAGGAGGAGGAGGAGGAGGAGGAGGAGGAGGAGGAGGAGGAGGAGGATGCCAGGGCCGGCACCCCGAGGGCACGCGCCAGTCTCGGCCAGGCCTGGGGGCCCGGAGGGGCCGCGTGCTCCCTGCCCTCGCACCCCCCAGCGCTGCTGGCGTCAGGCCCTCCTGTTCCCGCGCGCGGCGTGGGGCGCCGGGCCGAGCCCGGGCTCGTATCGGGCCGGGCGAAAGGGGGGGATTGGGAAAGGGGGGGGTTACGAAATTTGCTGCATGCAGCTGGTTTCGGCCTCACCGAGGGGCCCATTCCTCGATACATAGCCGCCTCCGGCGCCGGGAGGCGCCGGGAAAATCAGCTACGTGAGCTGATTCTCAAACCCCCCCTTTGCTATCCCCCCCTTTCGCCCGACCCGATCTTAGCCAAGAGCGACACCTTGGGGCCCGGTCCCGCTCCAAGAAGTCCGAGCGGACCTCCGACAGTTTGTGTTCGTACAGATCTTCGTTTTTCTGCCTTCGCCTTGCCCTCCACGTCGCCCCTGCCTCCCTTTTCCCCCTCCCTTCCTCGCTCCCCTCCTTCCTCGCCCCATTCTTGTCCCTCTCTCCCTCCCGGTATTCTCTCTTGCCTCCCAGCTCCCCCCCCCCGCCCCCCCGCTCGCTTTTGTCCTCCTCCTCCTCCCTCCATTCTCGTCCCTCCTCCCTCTTCTCTCTCCTCCCTTCTCCCCTCTCCTCCTTCTCATCCCTTCTGCCTCCTTCCTCCTCCCTCGTCACCCTCGTCCTTGCCTTTGTCTTCGTCCTCATCCTTTTTCTCCTCGCGCTCTTGCTGTCGCCACTGCTGCTGTCCATCCTCATCCTTGTCCATCGTGTTCTCTCCCTCATGTTTTCTCCCCTCCCCCCCCGACAAGGAGGCGCTGGGACCTCGCTGCAACGGCTCCCAGATGGCCACGGTGCTTGCCGGCGGCACGGCGGGCGTGTGCTTCTGGCTCTGCACCTACCCCGTCGACGTCGTGCACACGAGGCTGCAGACGGACCACGTGGACCCGCGGCTGCGCAGGTACCGCTCGGCGCTCGACTGCGCCCGGCAGGTCCACGCGGAGGGGGGCGCGCGCGCCTTCGTGCAGGGGCTGTGCCCCTGCTTGCTGCGCGCGGCCCCCGCGAGCGCCGTGATGTTCTGCGTCGTCGAGAACACCCGGCGGCTCCTGGACGCGCTGTACTAGTGCCTTTGCTTCAGCAGGCGAAGAGCGGCATAAAAGAAACCTTCCCGCCCTCGGGGAGGCCTGTCCTTGGGCGGCCGGATAAGTTTATAGCCCTGCGTTGCCACCGTAAGGGCACAAACTTTCCAGCCGCCCAGGGGCAGGCGTCCCCGACGGCGGAACAGTTTATTTTATGCCGTTCCTCGCCCGCTGATAGATGCTTGTTATGAGGACAATCCTGGAGCCCACCCAACGGGTCTGTGCGACTCTAGTTCGACCCCAGTTTGACTCGGGTTCGATTCAGTTTCGACCCAGGTTCGACTCGAGATCGGCTTGAGCCGACGGACGTTCGACGCAGCTTCGACGCACGAGCGGAGCGAGTGGCTCCAGGAAGGTCCCAAGAATGAGCAGCCAAAGTGCCGCGCCCGCCTCTCGCCGACGGTCCCCGAGGTGCTCCGCGCCCGTCGAGAGCGCGGCGAGCTCGGGCGGCCGCCGGGCGCGCCGTCTGCTGGTGATCGGTGCCCCGCCTGCCTCCGTGCTGGCGCCGCGCCCTTCTACGTCGTCGAGGGCCATCAAGGGGGGGGGTGACAGGGGGGTATTGGCCCTAGGGGGTGGACGTCGACCCCGAGTCGCCCACATATCTCCTACCTCGGGCGTCGGGACATGCATACACATATATATATATATATATGTATATATATATATATATATGTAGATATGAATGCGTGTGCATATATATATATAGATGTAGATATTTAATGGACGCGCATAACAAGTGATGTATGGTTGACCCACCCACAAAGATCATACGTCTCATCCTGAACCGTTTTCATGCTTATCTCCCTCTTACTCATATTCTCTTTTACCCTTCCTGCTTCTCCAAACGCAACTTTTCTTCATCATCTTTTCCTTCCCCTTCATGCTTCTCCAAGCACAACTCGTTCTTCATCTTTTCCTTTCCGCCTCCAGCTTTTCCAAACACATCTGGTCCTTCATCTTTCCCTTTCCCCCTCCCGCTTCTCCAACACACAACTCGTCTTTCATTTTTTTCTTTTCTCCTCCTTCTTCTCCAAACACATCTCGTCCTTCTGATTCCCCTTACCCTCTATTCTTCCTCCTTCTCCTCCTTGTCCTTTCCTCCTCATCCTTTCCTAGCCCCCTCCTTGCTGCAAAACCAAAGAACAGAGTAATACAGTGTTTGGCGCCCTCGGGGCCACGACACGTTGTTTTTTTTGTTTGTGTGCATTTTTGGTTTGGGAAGCAGCGACGCATTTTCTTATTGTGTTTTGGTTTCTTAGTGTTGGAAGCTCAAGTGCTCCACGCGGCCTCCCTCCTGGCAGCTCCTCCTTCCTCCCTTGCCCCTGCCCCCCTCCTCCTTTCTTTCTTTTCTTCCTTCTGTTGCAAGGCAATAGCACCAAGCATACAACGTGCTTGGCGCTTCCGGTGCCACGGAACGCATTGTGTGTGTATACACACATGTGTGTGTATATATATATATATACACATGTGGTGGTATTCGTGGTTTGAAAAGCAACGAAACATGGATATTTCAAGGTTTTGGAAGCTCGAGTGCTCCCCGCGGCCTCCCCCCCAGCACCTCCTTCTCCCCCCATCCTCTTTTCCTCCTCCTTGTTGCAAAGCGGTCGCATCAATCATGCACGGTATTAGGTGCCCTCGGTGTCACGAAGCGTTTTCCCCTCAAACCATCCTGTGGTGTTGGGTCCTCGTTTTGCAGAGACAGCGCCCCGCGTTCCTCCTTCCGCTGCTCCCTCCTCCCTATTCTCCCATCCCTGCCTCTGCTCTCCGCACCACCCAACCATTTCGGCACACTCCTCGCACGCTTCGTGGCCCCATGGGGATCTCCACCGAGGGCCCCAGTGGAACACGGTGTCTTCTTGGTGTTCTTGCGCTGCAGCAGGGAGGAGGAAAGGAAAGGTTAAGGAGGGGGAAGAGGTGAAGGGGGAGAAGGAGGAGGTGCTGGGGGGGAGGCCGTGGGGAGCACTTGAGCTGCCCAGGCCAAGACCAAACACAACGTCGAACTTACACAGTGTTTCGTTGCTTTCCAGACCAGCAACATTTCAGCAACCAAACATACACAGCGTTTCGTGGCACCGACGGCGCTAAGCACAGTGTATGATTGTGCTTTTGGTTTTGCAATAAAAAGGAGGACACGAAAGGAGGAGAAGGAACGGAGAAGCAGGAGAAGGATGACCTATACAGGGAGAGGATAATCAGAAGGACGAGTTATGTGTGGAGAAGCAGGAGGGGAAGCGAGGATACGAGTAAGAGGGAGATGAGGATGACTACGGCTCAAGAGGAAGTGCCTGATTTTTGCGGGTGAGCTATCCATACATACACATATACACATACACATATACATGTACATATACATCTACATACACATATACGGCTACATATATACATGGGTGTGTAAAGCATACATATACATATACACATACACATACGCACATACGCATACACCTACACGTGCATGTACATAGGCGTGCACACGTACACATACATGCATATATACACACATCCACGTTTACATTTACATTTACGTTTGCATTTTCATACACGCATCTACACCTACACATACACATGCACATACATCGATACATATGCATAAACACATACACAACCATACATTGATATACACACATAAGTATATACATACGCATGCATACACATTTACACCTACACATAGACATGCACGTGTATATACGTTTATACATATACATAAACACCACCATATACATACTCAAATCTGTGTACACACATACGCAGACACTCATACGTATACATGAACATTCTCATGCTTATATCCATACGCATATACATCTACATCTACATGTACATGTCAACATACATATATGTATACATTTACAGGTTCAATTACATTTGCATATGCACATACATTTACACATGCACACACATGTACATACACACATACACACATCCACACATACACATACACAAACACATATGCATATACACAAGCATGTGCATATACGTGTATATACATAGACAGGTACATACACGTATACTGTACACATACGTACACATATGCATAACCACATACATATACATTATACTACACACATGCACATTCATGTACGTATGAATTTACTTATTCGCAGACACGCAATGTATATGTATGTATTTATATACACATATGTACATATACACAGACTTTCTGATTTACCGTCGCCGTACTAATTGGTTCCTCGGTTCGGTATTTGATCGTGTTGTGGCGGCTACGTCGCGCGGTCGTTTGTGAGCTTCGAGGTCGGAACTGCGGGGACCTGTCAGGAGGCCTTTTGGGGCCTCTTGGGGGCTGTTCTGTGGCCTTTTGGTGGGGGCCTCTTGGGGCCTCTTGGGGCCTCTTGGGGGCCCGCTGGCTGTCTCGGCGGCCCCTCGGGGGCTCTAAATCTCAATTCGAGTTCCCCCTCTTGGACCTCTCGAGGGACCCTCTGAGGGCCCTCTTGGGCGCTTGGGCCGTCTGGGGACTCTCTTGGGGCGACTTGGGGCCCTTTTCGGGGCCTTTTGGGCCGTCTTGGGATGATCTTGGAGGTCTCTTGGGCCGTCTTGGACGCCGCGAAGGCCGAAGAACTGCATATGCTGAGCATGTTTGTTTCCCTATGGGAATGAGACGATTTTTGCCTAGTGGAGCTGTCTATGGAAGGCTCCTCGAGTCCTCTTGGAGCGTCTTGGAGGTCTTTTGGGCCGTCCAGATGCTATCTGAAACCTCTTGGACCGATCGCTCGGCGACTCGGGGCCTTCTTGGGCCGTCTTGAAAGGCCTCTTGGGGTCCTTTTGGCCCGTCTTGGAGCCCTCTTGGGACACTGTGGGGCCGTCCGTCTTGGACCCTCCAGGGGCGCTCCAGATTCAGCCGGTCCGCCAGGTCCCAAATCAAGGCAGATCCATTTTCTGTGTGTATGGGTATTCGTTCTATGGTGCAGCTCGACGCACCTCCCCGTGGCCAGACCCGTCCTGGGCCCAGGATCGGTGTATAGGCTTCCTCGGCCAAGCAAGGACGGCGTATACACCGCGGACATGTGCAGATCTCGTCGCCCTACCGTCCAGGCTCGGGTGTCCCGCCCTGCCTGGGAGCCCGTGGTGTCGCTGTCGGGGGCCCGTTGCCGGCCTGTCGGGCTCCGGCCAATGTGTCCGCCCTGGCCAAGTCCCCCCCCCCCAGTCCTCTCGCTTCTCTCAAGAGCACGGGGCGGCTGCTGGACGTGCTGCATCTCGCCGGCTCCCGTTCGGCGACGCCCGCGCCGTCTCCCGGAGGCCTCGGCCGCGATGCGCGCTGCCCCCCGCGCGCGGGGGGCGGTTTGGCGGGTGCGTGCCTCGGCCTCGCGCCGTGCGAAAGGGGGCTCGGAAGCTCGCCCAGGCACGCGAGGCAGGCAACGGAGGAGGAGGATGAGGATGAGGAGGGGGAGGGGGAGGGGGAGGGGGAGGGGGAGGGAGGAGGAGGAGGAGGAGGAGGAGGAGGAGGAGGAGGAGGGAGGAGGAGGAGGAGGAGGAGGAGGAGGAGGAGGAGGAGGAGGAGGAGGGCGAGGCGAGGCAGCGGCAGTTGGCCTTCGGGGGACCCCCTCGTCGCCGCGGCTGGGCGCGGCTCCGGAAATTGGTGCGTTGGGTCCCCGGGAGGAGTCCGGGGACGGATTTTGAGCTGCCGCTGTCTCAACTCGCCCTGCTCCGAATGGGGGGGTGATGGGGGAGACGATGAGGGGTGATCGATCGGGTACCGAGCGGCCTTCGGCCCATCCCGTCACCGTGTTTTGGTCGTGGGTCAGAATCCCCCCTGGATGCCTCTTGGGGTGCCTCCTTGTGGGATCCTTGGTGGCCTCTTGGGGGCCTCCTGGAGGCCTCTTTGATTCTTCCTGGGGCATCTTGGGGGGCGGGCGCTTCGGGGGCCTCTGCGGGGATCCTGGGGCCATCCTGTTCCTCCTCTTGTGCCCCCCTTGGGTCCCTCTTGGGGACCTCTTGGGCTCATCTTGGGCGCGTTCTGGACCGTCTCGGGGCCCTACTGGGCTTTCGTGGACCGTGTGGAGCTCGAAAAGGCGAGAACGCGAACATCAGTCAAACACCAGCGGGGAATCACTGACGTTTGCTCCTCGGGGCGCTATTGGTGGGTTTCTTGGAGCCATCTTGGGGCGTCTTCGAGAACATCCCGGGCCGTATTGAGGACATCCTGGGCCGTCTTGAAGCGATCTTGGGCCGTGTTGGATCCCTTTCGGGCCGTCTGGGCGCCTCTAGGGGCGCTCTTGGCCCGTCTGGGGACCGGGAAGAATCCTGCGACAAGCCCCAAGAGGTCTGCCATGCCTCGCAGCACACCCCAGGAACTCCGACAACTTGAAATTCGGGCACTTCTGCACTTGATTCTAGACGCGTCGCGTAATCCCACCAGCCCATCCAGAAACGATGCACAGACGAGTTGCCCTGATCAGGGATGACTTTAAACGAGGTTTAAGGTGGGGCTGTATAGCGAACGCTATAGCCGCCGCCATCTTGGCTCAATATTGCGCAGCCCTACTTGCTTTTGCACGACAGTGTGATTCTTTTTGGATCATTGCATCAGACAAAGGCCACGTCTATCAATGATCCATCTCTATATATCATGGCTTATCTCTTACCTCTCGACTTGAGTAGTGGGATACCTCGATACGTTGCCGACGTTATCCTTAAAGTACGTTTCTCAGCAAATTACCTCATGGTCAAGCCCTCAATCCTTACTTTGCACTTGGTAGCGGAGTTGGCTACATCTTTAATTGGCTGGCTCATACATCGGGTGTTACGTACATAACTAGTTACCACGGCACAGTGGAGTACCCGATTGCGCCGGTTATCAACCACTACACTCCCAATACTGTTCCACCAATTGGTAACCTACAGTCCTGCACCTCCATCTCCCCACCGTGTGGCCACGCGCCTCGCACAACCCAAGTACCGATACCCATCCGGAAATTGACGGCCACGTCAGACCAGACACCCAGTCGTAACCCCACCGACGCGACAATATCCAATGATACGAAACTTGACATACATGAGCACGCATTATGTCAAGGATGTTATCCTTGGAACCATTTGGGTGTGCCGAGGTCTTGCTGTGGCATACGTGCGAGGAGGAGGACTAGATGAAACACGCACTCGGGGTCCCTTCTGGGATCCCGCAGGCAACGCACCCTTCCGCTACTTTGTTGAAGTACACGCATTGCTTAACGTCACGAGCGGAAGCATGACTCCTCCCCAACAGGCCGCTGCCTTACAGCACGGCCTAGGGGGCTTGGCTAGGACACTCGCCATGAGGATGCCGGCCGCCATCATCAATTATGATGTCACTGTACAGGGGAGACGCACCGATGGAGTCACGCACACACACACACATCATGTACCTACTAAGCACCAACTTTGAAAACCTTGAGGACGAGCAACAGCTCACCTCGGGGACAACCCTCATCGATTTCAGGGTCGAGAGGGGCGAACGCATCTATTCAGTACCGGCCTGATTCGAGATGGCCAGGCTGGAAGCATATTCAGCGGGCTTTAATCTACCCAACTTCCGGGTCGTTACTTTGATCTGATTCCGTGCTTTGGGAGTTGGTACCTCCCGGGCATCGCAGCTGCTCCAACCGCTGAATCACCAGATGCCCCGTACCCAACAACAGTACGATTAACTCCTGGAGCGAATGCGCAGCCATGGACACTTGGCTGAGGGTTCCCCATAAAACGTCGGGAGCATCTTCAGCGGACGAAGCGTGGGCACCTACCGCACCGAAATAAGTGACAACCTGGCAGCCACGCCGACTAGCATCTGGAATGACTGAGAACCTACTGAGTCCACGACGCTTCTAGGCGAAGAAGCCAACAACAACAACAACGAACAGTCCTCTGGCTCAAACACGGGCTGGCCGTCGGCGGCCAGCTATGCACCACTTGGCGCGACCACCCTCTGGGGCTGCCCCAGTCAACGGGATGACGACGTCTTTGACTCCGGCACGGATTCCGATACGGTTCCTTCTGCCGGTGCTGAAAGCTTCGACTGGTCAGAATTACCCGCTGGTCATGATGCAGCAACACAGTACCTAGACCTGCTCAATCATCACGCCAAAAGAAGATGTAGGCAACATATGAAAAAACCATTTAGGAGGTATAGGCGAGCTGTGCGTCGTGTCTTCTTACGCAAAGGAAAAGGCCGCGGCGAACGTGGTAGACGTGCCCGCAGATTGCGCAGCAAAGGCATCGCCGCGTTTCTGGCTCGATTGGCCGAGTACGACTTTGAAGACTTTTTTCTAGGAGGTGAAGGTAGAGCTCAAGGTCGTAGGCATACTACAGGCAAGGCCAAGGGACGCAGGCTCAATCCAGTGGAGGAAAATGGTAAACGGATGGCGTGCAATACCTGCGGCAACGATAAGAATTTCCAAACTTAATGCCCCAGGGGAGATGGGAAAGGGGACGGATCCGTAATTCTTGGTTCGGAAAAATCCGAAGCGGATATCATGAAGTACGTTGATGTCCTCGAAATCGACCACCCCTTTCACGCCGAATCAAGTTCTGCATGGTCATTGATGGCCCACTTCGCTGACGTTGCCATGCCGGTTGAACGTTACTCGGAGTGCCAGCGCGACGGGGTCGAAGAGCTGTGCGACGCGCCCGTCGAGGATTGGATCGGCGCGCGTTGGCACAGACACGTGCAGTACGACTCAGACGGCGACGATGACGACGAAAGCATGTCCTGATACGGAGACTGCACTTGCCACCGACGCTGAAGTCATGGAACAGCTCGGACACGAGCAGGCGAGGCTCCACCCGCGCCCGTCTCCAACGATGTTTGATCTCACGCAGGAGGAGCGGAGTGCTATGGGATGGGGACAGACCCACGCCAACGCGTTCATGGTGTGGGGTAAGTCTGGAAGGGTCCCATTGGCTCGGGTGGCCTTTGAAAAAGGTGACGAAGGAGGCAGTCGCCGTGGCCGCAGCTTCACGGCAGGCGCGCCAGGGAAATCTGGCAAATATAGCTCGGGCGCGGGCGGTCCTGGTCGAGGTCCCCCTGGGCCCGCCCCTGGCTGGCCTCCGGGGGGCGCGCCGCGAAGGGCCCCGGGCGCGCAGGTGGTCGTGATGCCCTTCGAGGACCTGCAGCGGCTGCACAAGGACCGCCCCCGCCCCCCCTCCTCCCCTCGGGGGCCCCGAGCGTGTGCCCTCGAGGCGGGCAAGCGAACGGCACGGGCAGAAGCTCCTAGGTCAGCGATTCGGCTACGCGTGAGAGTGACCTTTCGCTGGAGTGACTTTTTCGTGCGGGCTCACAGGGGTGGCCCCAGCACCAGCCCGCGCGCGTGGATTTGGGCCCTTCGCGGTCCCCTCAAGCCGCGCACCAAAAGGTCACTCTTGCCTGGGTCACCCTTGCGTGTCGTTGAGCGATGATCTTCAGGACGTGTGTAAGCCCTGTGTGTGTTTTACGCCGCCTGCGTCGTATGGTGGTGCTTCGGTGGACAAGCGCACGTAAGCTAGCACACTTTCTGAGGATCATCGATGTCAGCGCAGATTTCTGGGGTCGGCAGGTGGAGGAGGAGGAGGAGGAGGAGGAGGAGGAGGAGGAGGAGGAGGAGGAGGAGGGAGGAGGAGGAGGAGGAGGAGGAGGAGGAGAAGGAGGGTGAGGAGGCGGCGGAGGAGGAGGAGGAGGGGGTGAGGAGGAGGAGGAGGAGGAGGAGGAGGAGGAGGAGGAGGAGGAGGAGGAGAAGGAGGAAGATGAGTAGGACGTGGAGGAGGAGGAGGAGGAGGATGAGGAGAAGGAGGAGGAGGAGGAGGAGGAGGAGGTCCCCCCTGGCGGCGCATCCATCGTCGCCCTCGCGCCGCTTCTCGCGCCAGGGGGGGGGAGGCCAGTGCCGACCCGAGACATCCACGCGGACCTCCACAAGTTGGTTTTCGTGCTGTGTTCGTTTCGTTTGGTTGTTTCCATTTGAACATTGATGTTTTACCAAGCGCTAGGCGTGCAGCTCAGGTGGAACCGTCGCCCGTGTCGGGCCTCGACCTGATCAAAAAGGCAGAGGAGAGATTTATCGTGATCACACGAGAAGGGGCCCAAGCGTGTCAAACAGAGCTGTCTATTTGACAGACCGGTCCGGCCTATGGTAGTTCATGTGATGCTTGCTGGTGCCCTCCGGGTGCATGCCCGTCGGCCGAATCACGCTCGCTCCTTCTCTTTGAGTCGGCACGGCATTTCAGCCTCCAGAGTCGCTGTTCTCGGGGCAGCCGCGCTCCGCGGCCTTCGAGGCTTTTGTGAACGCCACGCGGTGGACATCTCGGTTACGCGGGCGGCACGATCTTGGTTCACGAGCATCTCCGTGAGTCCATTTGGTTTTCTGCTTTTTTG